ATATTCACATTCCTTTTTAGTCTGTACCATTCTGAAGAAAATAAAGAGTGGGAGTCTCCCACCCCCACCCCCTGGGGAGTCCAGTCTTTCCTGCTTGTGGCACCCTTCTGAGTGGTGCCACTTTGATGTAAATGGGGTTGTTGATAAAGGTGAGATTATTGTAAAAATTCTTTTTTCATTTAATAATATAGCAGGATAGCATGTTCACAGGAGGTTAGTTAAATCATCCCCCAAAACCTGTGATCTAAGGAGACGAATGAGATGAGTTTTAAGGGAGACAAATGGGATGAGTTTTAATTCAGCGTGTGTTTTTACATCCTGTGACTCCGCATTCTGGAACGGTCCGCCTGGGACTACTCAGCTTGTGCCTGGGCTGTGGGGGTGCCTTTGCCTCCTGCAGGTCCCTTGGGTGGACCTGTGCATGCGGCAGCCTCCCTGCCACTCTGAGGGCTCTTGGAGGTCAGGGCTCACACCTCTCTCACCGTGGTGTCCCCAGGGGACAGGGTCTGGCCCCTGTTGGATGGTGGTGTGGCTAATGTGGGGGACGAGGGGCTGGGTGCAGCTCCAGAACAGTGTTCTACCTGCTGGTGTTAATGTTAATTTATAATTAAATGATAAATGTAAAAAATAGAATTTAGTCAAATTTCAGATTGAAATAAGTTGGTTTAGATTCCATTATTTTTAGTAATGTGTTTGACATAAATGTCACCTTAGAAAGTCCCACTGGTAGACCATCCCTGTCGTGGCTCCCAGGGCCCTGTCAGTCCTTGGCTGGGAGGAGGTTGAGATTGTGTAATAGGCCCCCGTCCCCCCAAACCTCCGTTATGGTGAGGGGTGCCCCATGCCTCGCCCAGCCCCTCGCCTGGTGCCTGGAGCCAGTTTGTGCGGCTCAGGGCAGATGTATCTACACAGCTAAGCCCAGACCTCCAAGGCCCGGGGAGGCAGCACCCCTGAGAGCACCTGTGCAGCTCCTCGGCCATGGCAGTGTTGTTATTTAGACACCCCGCCCCGGCACCCTGGTTCTGCGTGCCAACGCTGCTGTCACCAGTGCATCGATGTTTTGTTCTTTTGAATCATGTTTCTTCCTTGGAACCCGGTGGTTGCTTGGAGCTGCTCAGTGTCTGTTTTTTCTTCTCATTTTTGAGCTGAAAAATCTTTCTTTCCATTGGTATCAACGCTGTCATCTCCACTGTCCTTTGGCATGACACATGTTTAGGGAGCTAAATCTGAAACTCGTCGTGGGCTGCAGGGCTGTGAGTGTTCCACCCCTAGTTGACTCAGGTCCCTGATCCACAACCGGGCCATGCTGTGTTCCAGTTTCCTCACTCTCTGGTCACCCTCCCTCCTCGCCATGGGTGCTGTAGCCTTGGTGTCGGGTGATCTTGAGTGAGAATCCGTCATGGCCGTTGGCCCTCTCAGCGTCTGACTCCAAGGATGGGTCTCAGCACACACATGACACAGCAGGTGGTGCAGTAGATCAGCACCTGACAGATGGCAGCGAGGGAGACCTGCTGATCCTGCCTGTGGCTTTTGTCCGGGCCGTGCCCCAGGGACCACTGGGGCCCTGGCTCCTGTGGAGCTGTGTTCTGGACCCCTCAGTGCTGTCTCCTTAGGGGCCACACCTGCCAGCCCAGGGCTATTTTCTGCAGCTCAACCTGGGCCCTGACTTTGCTGTCACAGCCTGGGTGTTCCAGAGTATCTTCTTGCCTTCGCCAGCGTAGGTGGGCGCTTTCTCGGGTCGGGGGATATTCGTCTCATTCTAATGCTAAGGGTCATTCTGATTCTATTGGTGTTTAGAAGACAAATCAGCATAGGGGTTCTCTGCGTTCAATGCCATTACTTTGTTACAAATGGCCTGCTGTGAGAGATGGAGTAGGCCACGGACATGGCTTTGGATAAAATGATAAGCCAGCTGAAGAGACTAGGAAAGAGTGAGGCTTCTGCTGTCCCCGCAGCACCTGTTTTCTGCAGGTCAGGCCTGTGACAGCCCAGCGCCGTCTGTGAACTTGAGGCGAGACTGTTGAGGTCTGGGGAGGGCTTTATTGCCCTGTTTACCTTTTATTATATCCGAGCAAATATCCCCATGCTTGGAAGGCCCTTGAAAGAGGGACTATGTCAATGAAAACTTCTCAAAAGAAGTCCTCAGATTATTGTTGCAGTTCCCGTTCCCTGAGCCTGCAAAATAAAATCAGACCTGCTGCAGGTCCGCAGAATGTCGGATTGATTCTGCTGGAGCTGTTTTCCTGGCGAGGTCATTGTGCCGTGAGGAGAGCACTCATCCTCACGTCTGTGTACGTCCCTTCGTGGAACATCCTGGCGGGACAGGTGTGACGGTGGGCCTGGGCTTGGTATTGGGCAAGGCACCCCTGTGACTCTCACCAGCTGTACAGAGCACGCTCATGAGAGCCTGGAGGCTTAGTATTTGCAGCTACAGACTGGCAGAGATAACGCCTCCCACCACGGCTGCCGAGAGAACCTCGGGAGACAGGGCCTTTCCCTTGGAGTCACCGTGGGAGTGTCATGAGGGTGGGCTCACATCAGGCACTGGGCTCCTGAGCCCAGGCACCCTGCTGGGCTGGGCCCTGCTGGGCAGAGCAGTCCCTGCGTGCTGGGGAGAGAGCCCACAGCCCCCAGGGCCAGTGGGTAGACAGGGCTGCCAGGACAGTGCCACCGTCAAGGTGAGCTAAGGCTGAGCGGAGGTCAGGGGAAGTGACCACCTGTGTCTGCCTTCCAGGGCCTGGGTTGTGGAGACACTGGGCTGAGGGAGTGAGGGTCCAGTGTGTCCAGGACGCTATAGGCGCTGGCGCCCTTCACAAGTCTGGGTCCCAGGAGTAACCCGCTTTCTGATGGCCCTCCCCACCTTCGTGCCACCTGGTGACTCTTTGACACTTAAACATTGATGTTTTCAATTTTTAAAGTCATTTGCTTTCTTCATTAATGCATGAGCCTCCTGAGGGCATTGACTCTGTCCCTTACTCTGTGCCCAGTGCTTGGAGTGTGGGGACAGAGCTCCCACAGAGGGCACCTGCCACCTGCCCTGCACATCACCCCATGGTGGAGATAGCCCGAGTTCCACCAGCCGAGGAATACAGAAACCCAGTGTGGCCCGTCCACACGGCAGGGTGTTATTTGGCTGTAAAGAGGAGTGAAGCACTGACACGTGCTACTTCGAGGACGAACTAGACAACATGCCGAGTGAAGGGCCGGCCACAGATCGCCCCGTAGCGTGCGGCCCAGAAACAAACCCACTAAGGCAGAAAGCAGATGAGCAGCTGCCGGGGGCTGGGTGGAGAGGGGATAACGGGGCGTGATTGCTGTGGACACAAGGTTTCTTTCGGGGGATGGAAATGTTCTGGAATTAGATGATGATGAGAGTTGCACAACTCCGGGAATACACTATTATAGAAACCCCTGAATTGTGTACTTTAAAGAGTGAATTTAATGGCATATGAATTGTTTCTCAATTAAAAATTCCCCACACCCAACCAATAGCTGTTGAGTGAGTGAGGGAGCGCGTGTGACACGGGGCCAGAGCGCTGGTTCGTTTGCGCACCCTTACAGGCCCCCGGTCCCGGAGACGAGTGAGGAGTGACCGGTCAGAATCTGTAGCTGCTGATCTGCGCGGCCGCCGGGCCCTGCCCTGCTGGATGCAGGTCCCGGCTGTTGCCTCGTCCAGAGCCCAGCTGGCCGGCTGCTACCTGAGGGGTCTTGACGTGGAGACGCTCTTCCCCTTGTGCCTTTCTGGTTTCTGTGGTAAACCAGGAACGTGGGAACAGTGTGTTTGTCTCGACTTTTCCCACTCACACGCCTCAGCGTGAGTTAGGAGTTGTGTGGGGCTGCAACCCAGGACCGATCGCTATCAGATTAGATCTTTGCGGAACATGAATGTGAGCTGTGCCCTGAGTGTTTGTGGGGAGCAGTTGAGGACCTGGCTCTGGGACCAGATGGTGGGGCCATGCCGCAACCCTCCCCGCTTACCAGGCTGCTTGGAAGGCCATGGCCATTGTTTCTCAGCATCCACGGTCCTTAGGGATGAGTGGAGATAAAGGAGGAGTCGTGCCGGAAGGTAAATGAGCAAGCACATTTAAAACACACGGAGGAGTGCCTGGCATACAGGAAGCACTAAATAAATGCTAGCAATTGTTAAGGTTGCTATAATGTGATTTTTGCTATAATGTGCTTAAAACTTTCTGAATATATTCTGGGCTGAAATGTTTCTTTCCTTAAAGAACATTTTCATTGCAAAGATTCCAGGTACATTTGCAAATAAAAGTAAAAAAATTACGAACTAGGATACATAATTTTTAAAACATTTATGAGTGTTTTGCTGGATGATAGCAATTTTCATAAGGATCTAAAATTAGTTTGTTCAAATATCCGATAAGCCATTTCAATTAGGCATCTGTTTTGCATTTTAAAAACTTGTAAGTTATGTTTTCTCATTCGATTTTTTATACTTTAAGATGGAAATTATTTAGAGCACCATTGTCTATTATTTCTTTGAGGCACATCTGTGTTACTACTTTCTGGGGTATTTGATCACAGAAGAGAAGGATTTACCCAGTGTAGTTTTGGAAACTAACTTTGGAAACAAGTTTTTAGAGGAATTCTTGCCAGATGAATATGTAAATATATTAGAAGCAGAGTTGTTAAGATCTTATGAAAAACTTTTGGATCTCTGTTAGGAATAAGTAATATATTCTAGATTCTATCTTATTAGGATGTGAAATGCCTGAGAAGCTATAATTTACAATATATTAATTATGTTAATTAATTGGAGAGGATTTGGAATATTAATTTTCTGCAACTAATTAGTTATTAAAATCGAGAACCATTAAGTGATGAGGTGAAGACGACATGAGTCGTCAGTCGGAGTGATGAAAGACAGGGTGTGGGAGCGCTTGACCCGCGTGCAGGTCCCCCCGCGGGGCCTCCTCGCTCGGGTGTTTACTTTGTGTGATTAAGTGCTCCTTGTCTTTTCCATGCTCGGCACCACGCAGAAGCAGAGGACGTGGACGCAGTGGACGTCTCCAGCGTGCCCGCAGACGTGCTGCGCAACATCGAGGCCGACACCTACTGGTGCATGAGCAAGCTGCTGGACGGCATTCAGGTGAGCGCGGGCGCGCTGTTCCCAGAGACGCACGTCCATGCCCAAGTCCGCGTGGTGGACAGGACGCGGGGCCGGACGCCACAGGCTGCTCTCGGATGTCAGCATGGTTGTTTACTCCCTCCTGGAGCCTCAGCTCCTGTATCTGGAATAGTACAGACCCCCCAGGGCTGATGAGGAATGAGAAATAGTGTGTGCGACCCTCGTTCTATTGAGGGACGGCTGTGCTGTCCTGCTGAGGGTTCCAGCAGGGAGGCGAGGTGTGGAGTCTGATCCCGGGGATCCTGATCTTCCCGGCCTGCAGACTCCAGCCAGCAGCAGCGCGCGCAGGCCGGGGCTGACTGCTCAGAGGGCTCTTCCCCTTAAAGGGTCTCAGATTTGGGGCCGAAGCTTCTGGTCTGTAACAGCGGGCTGTGAGCAGCTCTCATGCCTGCCGGCCTTGGTGGCCAGGGCTCCGAGTGCTTGGAGCACTGGAGGAAACACAAGTGAGTGGGAGTCCCATGCACGTGATGGGGCTCTGCTGGTCACTGCATCAGCTAGGGCCATGCTGAGATTTTCCCAGAAAAGCCACAGTTACAGTGACGGGGCTGATCTTGTGGAAAAGGTGTGGGGGAGGAAACCCACACAGTGCCTGGGAAGGGCCTGTGGTCAGGGGGATGAGGAGGGAGGGCTGGAGCCCGCTGGTGTTGCGGAGAATGGCTGAGGTAGGTGGGTGGGCCCCCAAGTGGGGTGTGAAACATGTAGGTTTATTTTGTGTTAGCACTGCCTTCCTAGACACCTGCTTTGGGCGAGGTGCTGCCTTCTGCACCCGGGAACTAGTTAGTGGTAAGTAAGCCATGAGGCCTGCCCAGAGGAGCTCACCGTGGCACGGAGGGTAGAGGGTTAAGTGCGGTGCAAGGACAGGAAGCACACGCCCCCAGGACCCGAATGTGGGATAGAGGAGGCTTCGATTTTGCTGAGGCAGCAGGACTTGTCGGACAGAGGGCAAAACCCAGAGCAGGGTTCGGGGATAGAGGTTTTCCGAGGGAGCAAACTTGCAGGGTTCGTCCTGGGCACTCTCATGTGGGTGGCCCCTGCACGGAGGGAGGGGCCATCCAGGAGGGTCATGTGTTCTTCCGCCAGCACCCTTTATCCCAGCTGAAGCAGGGCCCTTCGTCTGCGGTAGGAGATGTGATTGTGCCTCGCTTGTCACCTGCGTTTCCTGGGCCATTGTCACAGCAGTTGTCCCTGCTGCCACTAACTGAAGAGGTACTTGATTTGACATGGTCAAAATAAGGTGTATATAAATGTAGTCTAAGGTTTGCACTCTGTGGCGTAATTTGAATATATTGGCTAAAGTGGTTCTACTGAGGAAAACTGTGTGGGTTCACGTAAGTGAGAAAACTCAGGAATTGACGGAGAGAAAGTAGAAGCCGTAGTGTAATTGAAGAGTGGAAACCTCGTATCTGTCAGCCGATCCAGATTTCCTTGCGACTTACTTCGTTGCTAGTAAAGAAAAATGTGCCCGCTGGAGACGTATTTTGGCCCACGCATCAATTCATCATTTCCCCTGCTTTGCTAATATTTTCATTTGTTTTATTCTTTCTCCCAGACCTTAAGGCTTTTTCCCCTCTTAGAGAAGAGATTGAATCATAATGTAAATCTTTATAAATTTCAGATGTCACTTCTCTGATTGTGAGTGATGGAACTCGTGCCATTTAAATACAAGATTATCTGACTTCTATTGGTAAATAAAATCAGCTGTACAATGAAATCGATGCTGGCTTTTCATTTCTCACCTGAGATTTGTGGTCTGATGAAATGGTTTATTGACGGGGCAGGTGAGGAGAGGGCTGTGCTGCTCTGGCGCGTGTGTTCGCACGGCGTTGCCGTCCGGCACAGCATCCGTCTTTCTCTCGTGGAGTTACGGTGACCCTCGTGGGAGCATGGCTGAGGGCCATCAGTTCCCACCGCCCGGCTGTAACTGCTGTAGACGAGGCCACCATAGCAGAGCTCCTCCTGGGGCTGTTTAGGGTGCGCAAGCTCTACTGCCATTGTAAGTTCAGATAAATGTGAGGATAGGACCTGACTTACAGCCAAGCCAACGAGTGGCCCTGAGCGTTTCTCCCTGTGGACCTGGGCGCTTCTGTCCTCCACGACTGGCTGCTTCTGCCTCTTAGCTCACTTCCCCACTCCTGTCTCACCTTCCTCCACTCCATTCTTCCTGGAACTGCTAGAACCTTCTTCCTTAGCACCCTTTCCATCACATCATTGCCCTGATTTATAACCCGTGGAAAAACTCTCTTTAGGTTTTGTTAACTGCAAACACTCAGCCTGGCCTTTACCAGTTGTGCTGGCATGTTATTAAGGTCAAGTTTGTTTATCAGGCCACGCCTTTGCCAAAGAGACCTCAGTGGAGTCACTGAACCAGAACTACGTAGCAGGGCTCTTCCTCACGAGGAGTGAGAACTCTGCAGGACTTCTTGGGTCCGCAGTTTTTGTGACGGGTAGGTGGTCGCAGGGGGACGAAGATGAGGAACTAAGGGCATCTCCTGAGGGCTGGTGCTTGCTGACGTTGGTTCCCTCACAGCGGATCCGAAGTGCCACCCCTGCTCACGAGGCTGATGTGACCAAGCCACTTTCCCAAGATCACACGGCTTGTGTTGGAGGCCACCTTCAGACCCCACAGCCTGGGCTGTTCTGCTTCACAACCTCTCCCAGCCGAAATATGCAGGGGTGAGTTTTAGAGGGCAGAAATCACATCTATCCGTCTTCCTCATCCTTGGATATCCTGGAAAGTAGTAACTATGCTTTTGGTTCTTCTTGGAGCCTCAGTTTGAGATTCCTATATTCTACTAGGCTTTGGTAATTACTTGATTAACTTCATCTATTTGGCCAGAGTGTGGAAAGCACCTACCTCTGCAGGTACTGGGTGCCAGGCAGAGGACTTTGGGTGTGTGAATCAGCATCAGCCTGCTGTCCCCGAGGAGCTCAGAGCCTGGTGGGAAGGGGCTGGGGCAAGGAGAGCGGACAGCTGTTGGAGATGGGGACAGAGTGCTGGGAGAGGAGCCTTTGGCCAGGAAGATGGCAAGTGAGGGACAAGAACAAATTGCTCCCCTCCCAGCAGTGTCTGGAAACGCTGGGCAATATTGAGCAAAAATTGTTTAAAATGCATCACTGGACTCCTTAACCACAAAGTCCTCCGGAAGCGAAGATTCGTGACTCCACTGGCTGATGCTCGTGAATTTGAAGGGATTATCAGACCAGGTTGTAGCTAAGAGTTGAGGTTTTTCTGTGCTGGCAAAGTATAAAGATAAGATAAAAGCTGGTCCTGCTTAGGGCAATCCAGGTGCTGTCCAGAAAGAAAGATAAAATAGTTCCACACTGGACATGCCAGATGCTTTCGTCTTAGGGTTTTTTTTTTTTTTTTTTTTAAGGGAACAGAGTCTTTCTCTGTAGCCCAGGCTAGAGTGCAGTGGTGTGATCACAGCTCACTGCAGCCTCGAACTCCTGGGCTCAAGCGTCCCCTCCACCTCAGCCTCTTGAGTAGCTGGGACTATAGGTATGTACCATCACGCCTGGCTAAAATTTTTGTGTTTTGTTGAGACAGGGTCTCGCTATGTTGCCCAGGCTGGTCTCGAATTTCTGGTCTCAAGCACTCCTCCTGGCTCAGCCTCCCAAAGTGCTGAGATTACAGGCATGAGCCACTGCACCCAGCTGGGACCTCTTTACATTGTTAAAAATTATTGAAGAACCCAAAGAGCTTTTATTTGTGAGCATTAATTCTCTTGCTATTGATCATATTAGAAATTGAAATGGAGAAAATTTAGAATTAGTAATGTATTTAAAAATAACAGTGATAAACTCATTATATACTCTTAAAACTAACCCATTTTAATGATAAATTAATATTTTCTAAACAAAAATGTTTAGTGAGAAGAAAGGCATTGTTTTACATTTTTTCAAATCTCCTTAACGTCTAACTTAATAGAAGACAGAGGAATTCTCATTTATGCTTCTACATTCAATTTGTTGTGATTTTTGTTTTTTTAATTAAAGTGTGTGAAGAAAATCCAGCCTCACACAGATATGTAGTTGGAAAAAGGAGTATTTTAATATGCTTTTTAGATAATTGTGGATCCTTTGTTCTTTAATATTGTATACTGTGACTCAACAAATAGTAGTTTCTTAAAGGTTAGTTGCAGTGTGAAATCCAAAACCACATCAGTGGGCATTTTGTATTCACTTACATTAAAATACATTGGCTCGTCTTGCACTTAGAATGGATCTTTTACCCATATATTGGGTCTATAACATCACATATTGGTGATTTAGAAAATATCAGATGACTGAGGTACGCAGATCTTGTAAATGTTGATATGTTTGATTGTACGATGTCAAAACATCACGGCTGTTAGTATTACCACCATCTCATAAGAAGAAGCGTTCAGGCTCAGAATGACAGAGAAAAGTCTTCCAAAATTCAGATTTCGACTTAAAAGCTCAAATATTATCATTGGTAACAAATACTACCCATTGTTTTCCTCGAAGTGACAGGCTGACTTTATTCATATTTAAGAAACTGTCTGCCGGAGACCCAGGTTTGAATAACCAGTTTGTCACACATTCTTTCAAGTAAAAGTGATGTTTTCAAGAAAGAATGTTGAAAAGATGTTTACTCAAGGGTCAAGATTACATACCATAATGAAATTAGTAACTTTTCCTGCTTCATCAAGGGCATCCTTAAGTGAACCTGCCTTTTGTTTTTTAAACTGTGAGCCTTGCCTTAGGAATGCAGTGATGGCTGGTACAGTTTGGTGTCCCTGCCTTCGTTCCTGCAAGTGTGTCTACATTTTCACTCACCATTGCTTGTGTACCATCAGTGCAAACGTCAGCATGGTGAAAAAGGTAAAAATGGCTTAGTATTACTGTGAAAGGAGTTTCAATCTCACAGACCCCTCGAAAGGGCCTCAGGGACCCCCAACAATTGGCTGACTACCCTGGAGAATTTCTGCCTAGTGGGA